TTGGCGGAGTAATTCCGCTTCTTTTTCTTAACTGGTCGACACGTCGGGTCAACATTAAGCTTATGGGAGATGAGGTCTGAACTTATCCCGGGCATATCAGCTGCCGAGAAAGCAAACACATCTCTGTTGTCCCGAAGGAGCTGAATAAGTTCACAACGGGTGTTCGGATCAAGGTCCATCCCGATTGTTACACATTTCTCAACGTCTCCTTCGGCCAACTCAACTGTTTCAGTCTGTTGGTCCATGTCCATTGCTGATGGACTGGACTCTTCATAATCTGGCCTGCTGCCAATGTCGGCAGGTGTCCCAGTCTTTTTGTTCTTCGGCTGGCTCTCTGAGTCTTGCGGCTCAGCTGAAGAGCTAGCCTTTTCCCTTTCGGGCCCTTTACCTCTTGGTACAGATCCTTGGGCCGAAGCACTTAGGCCTTTCGGCTTTTTTGTGCTCGGCTCTCTTTCTCTTTCTTTCTCCTCCTCATCCTTGTCATCTGGGCGACTATTGGATGGTTTGAGGTAGTTGCACCTTCGGGAGTCCTTTTGGTTGCCCTGTATCCTTTCGGGGAAGCCGGCGTCTGAGACGTAAATCATCAGCTGATGATAAGTTGAGACGACCCCTTGGATCTCATGAATTATGGGTCTCCCCAAAATCACGTTGTACACTGAAGGAGCGTCGATGACCAAAAATTCAATCATGACGTTCCTGGCTGCCTCATCGCAACCGATGGTGACAGGAAGTGTCACCTTCCCATCTGGATAAGTTGAAGCCCCATTGAACCCGGATACCGGGTAGGGTACCGGCGTAAGGTGCTTGGGCTTCAGCTTGATTTGATTGTAGGCCTTTCGGAACAGAATGTTTGCTCCGCTGCCACCGTCAACAAGGACCTTACTGACGTCGTGGTTGGCCACCGTGGCGATGATCACCAACGGATCCTCGTGAGGGAACGTAATCCCCCGGCAGTCGGCGGCTGTGAACGTCATGTTCGGCACCGGCGACTGGGGAGATTGAATGTCAGCGTTGTTCACCTGGTGAGTCAAAGCTCTAAGGTGTCGCTTGTGCTCCCTCCGAGAGTATATTCCTCCCAAGATAACATTGATCGGAGAGAATTTCCCCTCCGGCTTTTTACTGTTTTTCCGGGGGAAGTCGAGGTCTTCCCGAGAGTCCTTTACCGACTTCTCGGATTCTTTTTTCTCGCGGTGATCCGCGATGTATTTTTTCAAGTATCCCTTCCGGACCATGTCCTCTATCTGGTCCTTCAGTTGGATACACTCCTCAGTGTTGTGTCCCGAAGACTCGTGGAACTCGCACCACTGATTTTTATTTTTTCGCTGATACCACTCTGGGAGTGGTCTCGGCTTTCGGTAACTCTGCTCCTCCTTCGTCACGCTGTAAATTTTGGCGCGTGGAAGAGAGAGCGGAGTGTAGGACTCGTATCTGCCTGTGTATGAGGCAGATCTTTCCTTCTTTGGGTCGCTGGCCAAAGATTGCTCCGGGGCCTTTGACTTTCCCTTTGCCTTATGGCCTTGGCCTTCAGACAAGGGTATTTGCCTTTGTTTCCCTCCCCCAAATTGAGGTTGGGTTTTCGCTTTGTTCCATTCTTCGGCTCGGATGAACTTATCCGAGGCATTCAGAGCTTCCTCCAAGGTGTGCGGGGTATGCATGACCATGAAGTCTAGGAACTTTCCGGGCTGAAGGCCATTCTGCATTGCAAAAACGGCTATCCCCTGGTCTAGCTGAGAGACGCTGGATGACTCGTTACTGAAACGGGTCAGATAGTCTCGGAGGCTTTCGGTTTCCCCCTGTTGTAGACTCATGAGCTCTGCAGTAGTCTTCTCTCGGCGGTTTGCCGTGGAAAACTTGCTCCTGAACTTGGAGGACAGATCATCCCACCCTGTTATGGAGCCTTGCCTTACTCCCTTGGAGATCCACGCTTGCGCGACCCCTTTGAGAGTGGTTGGGAAATATTTGCACCAAGTCGCCTCGGATCTGGGGCAAAGATGCATATGAGTCTCATACGAGGCCACGTGATCCTTCGGATCCGAGGTCCCGTCATATGTGATGTGCGACGGTATTTTAACCGTGGGTATGCGCTCTTCCAGTATCCATTGCTCGAATGGTGAACTGGCGGGTAGCATAACGGCCTTTCCCTTGTTCCTGGCCGAAGGGACCGCGCTCCGCCCTCTTAGAGAGGTAGGAGTGGTTTTCGTCCCTGGCTGGGAAGTCTGGGCCTCGGCTGCAGGGAACGAGAGGCGACTGCGCACGCTCGGTTCCTTGCCGCCGAGTCGGTCAAGGACGCTTCGGCGAACAGTCTCAGGTTCTCGGTGAGTAGATTCTGGGCGAGAAGCTGAGCTGCTGCTCTTATGCGCTTCTGGTCTTGAGGATGAGGATCCTTTTAAAAATTGAGGGTTCTTTTTCCTCTCTTTTTCATTTTTCCAGGAATCCTCTTCCCACTCTTCCAGTTCCCGGAAGGAAGGAAGCTTCCCACCATCATGGTCTAACTTCCTCCGCTGATGCCGGGTATGCGGAGGAGTTCGATCACGAGGTGGTGGCATATTTTGTGCCCTCATTGCCTCCATGAGCACTGCCAGCGCTCTTGCCACCTCTTCCGAGCTGGGCCCCGTCAAAGGGGTCCTCGGCCGAGTATGGGAATGAGGGCGCGCAGCCAATGGTTGGCTTTGGGGCACTGAATGTGTCCTATGATCGGACTCACCCCTGCTAGACCGAGAGTGACTCGGCCTATAATGAGAGTCATGAATTACGGGAGAAAGGGAATCCTCCTTGTATGATCCTCCCCCCGAGATGGCACCCTTGGGAGAGTTCCGGTCCGGCGAGGGTGATGGTGTAGGGGTTTTAGGCTTTTCGCCCGCTCCTTGACGGAGGCTTTTGCTCTTGCGGTTCTTAGCCATTGCTACTAAGATAATTGCAAGATGATCTTGGTTAGAAATTTGGCTTAAAGATTTTTGAAAGTCTTCCCCACAGACGGCGCCAAATTGTTTCGGGTGAAAACAATGGGACCTTGCCGAAGGTCCGCTGAAACGGAGAAGACTGGATTCGGTCCAAGTTATGCTGGGCCGAAGGTTTCCTGCACAGTAAACACACGTAAACTAGCCTCGGGGGTGTTGCCAAGGAAGGCCCCTCCGATGCTAAAGTCAGTACAATGTGTAGAAAGAGAACACTATGCAAGAGAATTAGTTGCTTGAGGCTTTGCTTGAATATATGAGAATATATGAATCTATGAATATTGATGGCTTTTATACCTCTTCATACATGGAGAGGTTGGGCCTTAGCCCAATTGGCTTGCTTTGTGGGCTGACCTTTGACTTTAGCACAATTGGAGAGTTGAACCTTGACCTTGGGCTTTTAATTGGATAATTTAATGCCTAGGCCCAATTGGACTAAATTGGACCCAAACATTTTATATTTTTGTACTTTTTTAGTTCTCATCTTTTCTTTCACACCTCTATACTCCATTGAAGATGTTGGTGTTGTGAACATCTTCTTCGTCATTTGTCATCTTTGTTGTCTGCTATCTTCTTCACCCTCCTTCGTCTTTCCGGCGGCTTTGTCGCCGAATCAAACGAGAAATCCTAAGGAAATTGGAGATCGAATTAGGGCAAGGTTTGTCTTCCTCCTCCATTGAAGATTTTGATGCGTTTCAATTTCTACCAGAGGAAGAAGAACAGATTATTGAGGAGAAGAAAGCCAAATCAATAATAATTTACAATTTAAACCCCACTTATATACTCAAAATGACACAAATACCCATTTGAAATACATTCCATGTTTATCAATATGAGAAACATGAATTTACTCCTCAACCTTCAACACCATAAAACCGATCATGCACCAAATTATAGCATTCGAGACACACATACATACAACATAAAACACCAAATAATAATCCATAAAAGCAACTTTGTACAAAACGACCGACGTATATGTAAATTAGTAAATGCAATAATGCAAATCCTCTAATGTTAGTGTTACATAAAAACCCATTCTAATGTAAAACGAAATTATGTTAGCCTATGGAATTATCATACTTCATATGTGACAAATTCTGTAATGTATCAATGATATCTTATCACAAGCATGGTGGTGGTACTCGAATATTGTCAATTTGTCATAATGTGTAGGAATTCAAAAAAAAAAAAAAAAAAAAAAAAAAAAAAAAAAAAAAAAAAAAAAAAAACAAACTAAACTCTCTTTCAAAAGACATAAGCCACGTAAACTCATGGTAGGGATGTTAAACATATATAGTGCATAAATTGGGCCCTCAGTTTCCTAATAATCCAATAAATATAATCACACTATACCATAAATAAAGAATTTTAAGAAATAATTAATATATAAAAACAAACCCTACTACCCCATCCATGCAAGATTACAAAAGCGTAGAACAGTATAGTCCATACGAAAATTTTAAACAATTTATACACCACAAACTTGTTGAAAAAAAAAACCTTGAAAATCTAAATCCACGAATTAGTAGCAACACTTTGACCTGCATAGAATTATTTTACAATTTTAGGTTTTTTAATTAACCAGATATCTTCTTAAGTGATTGTTGATAGTGTGGTATTTTGTTTGATGTATTTTTTTTAATTGAATTGGCTTCATATTCTTTAATGTTTTATAAATTACTCGTAGTAAATAAAGTGGTTTCAATGTAAGTGAGAAATAATTACGAAATTTAAGATTCATGCTTTTAACAAAGTGTTGGAAGTAATTTAGAATTGATTTACATGTAAAGCAAGTAATTTGGAACAAAAAGAATACTCTCTTCGGTTTTTTAAGAAGTGCTCCATTAGCACTTTTTGTACTAATTAGTTACTTGAGCTACTTTGACTAATGTTTGTGATTTATACATAAGAAAAAATATAATCTTGTAGATACTTGTTGGAATCGTCTCAATGAATAAATTATTAATTTTCAATATTATAATTTATACTTATTGATAATTAAAAAATTTATTGGTAAATATTTACATTGACATATGTGCCTAGGGAGAAATAAAGAAAAAACGGAAAAATGTTTTCTCATAATATCTCCCCTTTCCCTATTTGGCAAAAAAATATCAGCCCTTACTACTTACTCTTACTATATATAGAGATAGCTTTACACTAGTTTAAGTGCATATTTTCTCAACAAAACAACCCTCAACTCAAACAATCATACAAAATGTGTCATCTTAAAACCCTTGTATTCATCTTTCTCATGCTCAACATGCTAGTTACCCCATCTCTAGCTCGCCATAATGCTGCCTTTGGCGAAAACAAAGAACAGAAAATGGATAAAATAGCGATAATAATATCATTACCACCCTCCTCACCCTCACCTTCACCCTCACCCTCACCTTCAGCAGAAGCAGCTGACACTCAACTCAATGAGGAGACAACAACTGGCGCTACGGGCTCGGGTCATGGCCGGAACTGGTCTTACGGTTGGGGCTGGACATCAGGGCCTACTAGTGGTTCCGGATACGGCTATGGTTCAGCCCAATCCCCTAGTGAATCCAAATATTCACCTGGTGCTGGGTCAGGGTCCGGATCAGGGTCTGGCTCAGGGTCTGGATCCGGGTCAGGGTCTGGTTCTGGATCTGGGTCAGGATCCGGGTCTGGATCAGGGTCAGGGTCCGGCTCAGGGTCTAGGCCTGGTCCAGTCCCTAGTTCTAGAAACTGATATGGGTAAAACTGGTCACGACTCACGAGGCGGTGGTGCGGGTGGAGCCGGGGAAGTGGCGGAGGAGGTGGGTATGTAATGGAACTATTTCAAAGTTGAAATCTTGGCTAGTTATTCATGTAATGTGTTAGTTTATATGTAAGCTGTTACTCAATTTATATGGATAATATAGTATGCCGTATGCATGCACAGATGCACTCAATTTATATACTGTAATGTACTCATATTATGCATGTCACTAGAGTGCTTTCGTGCATCATCAATAAAATCATAATATGTACTCTTTCCATTAAATTCAAGTTGAATTTGTACGTTTGTATTTCCTATTATATTGTTTAATTGTAAGTCTTGCAACACTTTCTATTTTTCTGTTTACCAACAAATAATTTAACAATAATTAGCTTGTGTTCGTGCTAATGCAATTTTATAGCACGAGAATTATAAAAGTATATAACTACCGAGTATTGAATTTATATATTTACAGTTTATTAATATTTATTTTACTAACAGTAGTGTTGTAATTCATAATGGTCACAATATAAATATAGTTTTTTCAATTTGATTTAAAGTAGAAATTGAATTGCGTAATTAAAGTTTTCTTAATTTGTTAGTCTTGAATTCCAAATTGGTTGAGTGTGATTGAAAGAGATGATATGGCGTTGAGGGAGATGATATGGCGTAAGCGTAACTGATAGTTAAAACTTGGTTGAAATTTTTTAATGTCGAACCCGCTTTTAAATTCTTATATTTTATGAGCTATAAACCAATTACTACAATTATTTGCTCATCATTTTTTATATGGGTATGATGAGAGTACTCCGTGGTATATAATTATTGACAAAAAAATACGAGTATTGATATTAAGGTGAAATATTGGCATTTTTTTTTAATTTTTTATTTTATTCTATTTTGTAGATTCCAACATTCATTTTTTGTTGTTTTTTGGTAGGAAAATTTGCCAATTACAACCGGTAAAATCACCCATTTTGCGAGTAACAACCATCACATTTTATTTTTGCAAATTACAACCAAAAAAACCACTGAATATTATAAACTACAACCAAAATCCAATTTTCCAACCATTTTAACCGGAATATGACATCATTATATCAATAAATGATCCCAAACTAATATTGGCTTGGGGTTATCTTTTATATCAATAAATGATTAATGACGTCACGTTCCGGTGAAAGGATAAAGTCTTGTGTACAACGGGTGTACATTAATTTATTGGTAAACGGGTTAAAGTTATGTTAAAAGTACTTAAAGTTACCCTTTATACTGCAAAAGTTACTCCCTCCGTTTCATAATGTTAGTCCCGTATACTATTTTAGGCGTTTCAAAAATATCTACCCATATTGAATATATTCCATTTTTAACTTAGTTTTTATTTCCTATTTTATACATATTAAATTTTGATTGGTTAAATTAATTGATTGTTGATTGATGAATGACTCTAAGTAATGAAATTCATCCCTTGAATTATGCAATTATGGTTGATGCTTTCCAAAAAAAAAAAAAAAAATTTAAATAATGCAAACTAATTATGAACTGTTTTTGTACTTTAATGTTAGATTCTAAATATTCTTTTTTTTTAAAATTTTTTTTTTTATATGAATTATTCCATATGGGACTATCATATAGAAACGAAGGGAGTATTTTTTTTATATTAATAAATTTTATCTTACAAAAAACTTATAATGTAGTAGATTAATCATATTAGTATTTATAGTATGTAATCACGTATCTATAAGAAATTACACATTAAAATAAAAATCAAACCAACGACAAATTAAAAGTCACCCTTTAAGTGGTTAAAGTTACCATAAAAATAGTTAAAGTTACGCTCAAACTGACCGTTTTACAATAAAATTAATGTACACCCGTTGTACACAAGACTTATTCCGGTGAAAATGGCCAAAAATTGGATTTTGGTTGTAGTTTAAAATGTTTGATGACTTTTTTTGTTGTAATTTGCAAAAATAAAAAGTGATTGGTTGTAACCCGCAAAATGAATACTTTTACCGGTTGTAATTAGCAAATTTGTCCTCTTGGTAAAAATTATATATACTCTGTAGTCTCTGTCTTATGTTTTATACAACAGTTTTTTATGTCTTTTTTAGATGTCATGATTTTATGTGTTTGTTGGTTTTATAGGGAAAATCTAGTGGCTTCATTATTCAGAAAAAAGATTAATGACTTAAAACATCACAATTCACAAATCAATATATTATCAAATTATATTAGGAGTTATTAATTATACCATGCACAAAGTATGACTGTTTATATTATTAAGAATACGCCTAATTAGATAATATTATAAAATAACTATGATCAAAGTTACAAACTATTAGTATGTATATACATAGTGAAATAGTAAAAGTGTTGCAACTAAAGTAATGGATGAAATATGTAACATCTTGCATGATTAATATTAGCTTTGATATAGATATTTTAGGCTGTTTTATCAAACTATTTATCAAAATAGCTATTTTCGAATTTTAAATTTCACAAGTAGCCCAAACAACTTGGATTGCGTTAACTATGGAATTACGATAAACAAAGTTTTTTTATTTTTATTTATTTATTTATTTTTTTTTTGTTGAGAAAATACAAGTATTTTTTTTCCTCCCATGAATCATCTTTTTTAAGACAATCCACTACATTTGTTACTTACCTCTTCTAGATAAATATATAAATAAATAATTAAAAATCATTACTCATGTCCACTAATAATTTAATTAGATTTTTTTAGTTTCTCTTCCAATAATTTATAATTTTAATATACAAAGCAATAATTTTCAAAAAAAAAAAATTTCAGGGAAACCTTAGCGCCGTTAATTTCTATCCAAATTTAGCGAATTAAAAATAAAGCAAGCAAAGTATGTCGGCCGGTTTATCACCTACATAGAGCAATTCTGTAGGGGCTTGCATGTAATTTTAAATAATCTCCAGCTACTAGCATGTTCAAGTTCATTAGTTTTGTCAAGCTAATTTGCTTGAAAAAAAACTTATCAAAAAAGAATCAATATATAACTACATACTAAAAGCGAAACCAGGAATGACACATGTCATCTCTAGAGCTGTCAAAAGCTGACCCGACCCGAATACTGACCCAAACCTGATTAGTAACCGACCTGTTTGAACCCGGAAAAATGGTTGCCCGAACCTGATATGACCCGACCTGAAACCAACCCTAGACCCGAGTTAACCCGAGTATTTGAGACCCGAACCCGAACATGAACTGACCTAGAGATGACCCGACCTGAATATAAACCCGTAAATTATTGACTTGAACTGAGATTGACCCAAACCCGTTTTAAACCGTCAAAACCCGAATTTAACCCGACTTGTTACTAACCCGGCTCGAATTTAACCCGACCTGTTATTAAATCGACCCGAATTTAACCCGACCCGAATTTTACCCGACCTATTACTATGCCAACCTGAAATTCAAGCCGATCTGTTACTAACCCGACCTGAAATCAACTTGACTTGTTACCCACATTCAACCAGAATTGTTCTTGACCCATTTCGAACTCAACCTAAACTGTTATTGACCTGACCCGATTTCAATTCACCTCAAATTCAATTTAGACCACCTTATTAATATTGTTTAAAGTATAGTTATATTGTTACGTTGTCACTTATTATGTATATCTTATCTAAACTTATTTGAACTAATTAGCTCGAATTTAAACTTATCTGAAATTATTTCTCTTACAATAAATGAAGAAATTGATAATGATTAAACGTGAACGTCATTACATGAACTGTTAACAAACCGACCCAAAAAATGTATTCGAATTCGATATGACCCGACCTGAAATCAACCCGAAAACCCGAATTACCCAATATTTGAGACCCGAACCTGAACATGACCTGACTTGAAGATGACCCGATCTGATTGTAACCCGCATATTATTGACTTGAGCCGATCCCGACTTGAACCCGAGAATGACTTGACTGAAAATGACCCGACCTGATTATAACTGCAAACTATTGACTTGAATCGAACTCGACTTGAACCCGAGAATGACCCGACTTGATTATAACCCACAAATTATTGACTTGAACCGAACCCGAGAATGACCCTAATTCGTTTTAACCCGTGAAAACCGGAATTAAACCCGACCTATTATTCAGCTGACCCGAATGAAACCCGACCTGTAATTGACCCGACCTAAACCCGATAAGATGTATGACCCGACGTGACCCGACTCAAGCATGACCCAACCCGAACCCAACCCACATAAGTTACGACATTAACCCGAATTGACCCGACTCGAGTTGACCCAACCCGACCCTTTTACCCGAATTGACAACTCTAGTCATCTCCTGGTTAAAAATTTTCCCACACATTTTACTTTCCGTTTTTACACAGATTCTTTAAGGAAATCATTTTATAATAATCCAAAATATCTTTTTTCCAATTAAAATTCTTAACAATAATAATTCTCCATATAAGCCCAACTAATATACTTTTACATATACGTAGTATTTTATATTAGGTTTTTTTTTTTGGGTAAAAAAATGAACGTATATTAGGTAAATATTGTTAAACAATACGGCTCGATATTATCTTAGTTTATTGATAATATTATTAACTTTTTTTTCTCTTTCAATTTTGTTACTTTTGCAATAATGTTTAATTCAATTAAAAATAAAATCATTTGGTTAACACACACATGTATACACTTTATTCTCTACTCTTAAAAGTTGTATCAATAATAATAACGCAACACGCGTGGGTACCATCCTTAGAATTTTATTTTTTAAAATAAAACCTCATAGCCTTTTAATAATAATAATAATAATAATAATAAAAAAAAAATAATAATAATAATAATAATAATAATAATAATAATAAAAATTCAAGTCTAAGTGTCACTAATCTTGACATTGGTGTAGCTAGGTATAAAATTAAAGTTATATTTATTTTTGAATTAGTATTATGAGTATAACTTTTTTTTTTTTTTATAAAATTCAATACAATAACTCTTTATAAAGTTTAATAACAACTATGTATTGCACGAGACTTAAATTAGTAAATAAATTAAAATATAAAATACTCCCTCGGTCCCTTTATTTTTGCCCCATTTGACTTTATGCGGTCTCAAAGACATGTGTTAAAACGTTTATATCTCAATTTCCATATACGTAAAAATTATAAAAAGTAAATATTAATTAAATTTATAATGAGACGAACCAAACAAGATCCCACATGACTATATTTTCTTTGGTAGAACAACAGGAATTTATGATCAAAGTTATCAGAATTTGACCCACATTTTGACAATAGGGCAAATAAATAGGAATAGAGGGAGTAGTTAATTAAGGAATTGGGTTCATTTAAATAGTAAGCTACTAGCTAGCCATTAAAGCTCAAATTAGCTAAACTAATAATTAATTTAAAAGCTTATGTGATATGACAAGCAAATTTCACAATTAGCTTGCCATTGAAGTGTTAAATCAAATCAAATGGCATAAGTGAAAACATTATGAAAATTTTCTTTGATATTTTATCTATGCATTATACGAAGTATGTGTTATACATGTAAATACTACAATTAGGTCTCTCAATTTCTGATCAGATAATATATTTCAATTTTTTAGTCATTTCTTTCGTTTATTTATGTTGGTAGGAAATAGAACTTTTATTTGTAATGGTATGCCGACATCCAAATATCCAATGCAATATTCCAATTTTGAACACCTTTATTTTTTCATCTTATTTGAACGTCTTAAGTGATGTCATTTTAAGGCAAAATATATGCATTGTACGGAGTACAAAAGTTTTAACTACATTGTCCCACAAGATTAAAGTGCTTAGAGAAAAAAGAGATCAAGATATAAAAAAAGTTGTTTTATATTTACGCAGATAAATTATACTCTTAGTAATGATGATAACTACTTTATGTTGGTAGGAAAATGAGACTTATATTTGGGGGACAGAGTGTAAAACACATTTATGAGACGCAAAGCAAGAAGCAAATCAGGAGTAATGGCATATCAAACAATCTACATTATGATATACATTTCACATATCTTGCATTTTGATGCATTGGTTTAGAGGGGAAAACATGCTCTGATGTTCATACAATCAAAATACTCCTTTCTTCCTAACAGAGGCCTTTCAAGAAGGCCATTTCAGACATCACCTGCCAAAGTGTAAATCTGGGATCTGCATGCTATATTGTTAGGACTCTTTCAGGCATTCCAATTCCTTCTCCCACTTGATGCCAAACATTTGGCGACCAAAAGGTACAACTAGGTTATAGCGAAATACCTGTGTATTCCACAAACAAATTACTGGCCAAACACGAGTAAATTTAATGAATGAAATAGCAGTTGGAAATCAGACATGGATTTGATGATACTAAGTATGATACAGGATGCCTAGGATCTAAAAAACCAACCTTGTTATTAATAGCACCCATTTCAGCCTTTAAAGCCTCTGAGCATTCTGTCCATTTAGCAACATTTCCATTGACCTTGTATGCCCATGCTTTCTTCAAAGCTGAACGCCATTCCACAGCATCGCTCCTTATCTGCTTGTTGAGTTCCACCCACTCTGGTGCACACCCATTTTTTGAGAGAATTCGATATAGTGTGTCCTCATCAGGGGCTGCATGAGGATTGGTACTAAGATTGAGAGGTTTTCCCTTGCCAGGTAATTTCTCAAAATGGCCTTCTTCCATAAATTGCCATATTCTTTTCTCAACAATGTTAACTATGTCGGTTTCTGATCTGCACAACTCAGCCCAAGTCAAAAAGGTTTGTCACAAAACATGCATGTATATTAGTCAAGAAAGACCATTGGAAAAGATTTTTTGCCAGTTGCCACTGTCAACGAATGCCAAAAAAATAAGAACAAGGAAAGGGAGGCATGAAATAAAGGTGCATTCACAAAATCTTATAATTTTGTATGAATTTGAAAGGTAACGTGACTAAGGTCAATCAAGGCTCAGGTGGAAGTTGGTTTAAATGAATAAGAAAATTTAGTGAACAGCTACATGAGCCATCTTGTGCTATCCTTTAGCAATACAGAAATAACATACTAAAGAAATCAAGGTAGTGAAGAACAATTGATGCCTTTCCACACAGATTTTCCTATCTCCTTTCAAATGTATGGCGGCTATGAAGCAAAAATATCAAACAAAAAAAGAAAGATAATACAATAAGGACAAAGACCAAATTATCATTCTGAATTTTGGGGCAAAGACATTTACATGAACAGAACTGCAAAACAAAACAGGTTAAAACCAAGAGCTCATGAAGCATACATGAAATCAAAGGTGAAAGAAGAAATTCTCGACACCATAACAAGAGATCTCTGCAGTACAATACATTAATCAAAGATCTTCATCATATATAATCCCTTCTATAATGCAGTAAAGAAGAAATTACAATAAGATTGGCAAGTCCAAATACATTGTTAAATGTATTATCCAAGAAGCAAAACAACTGTCAAAAGAGGCTCATCGAAAAACTTCTATGATACTACTACAAAGACTCAATGGACGACTACAGCAAGTACAAAGTTCATTTACCCCTAAATTCCACTTAATTTAAGATTAACATGATATGAAATTTCAACAATTTATAGAGGTTAATATATCAAGAAGGTAGTCAATAATTTATGCAGGGAAAATATTTAAACTAGAACGTGTATAGTACACCTAAAGTTCCTCTGCTACTTTTATATACCAAATCTATTTGGACATCTCCAATCCTACTTACAAATTGTCATTGTATAGACAACTCACCAAAAGAGTAATAAATTGTTTGCAGTACTACAAAAATAAATTAGTCCTGTTAATGATGAAGCACAGCTGCACAAGAAGGCTGGAAAGTCAAAAAAGCTCTCATTTTTTTTTCTCACCTCACCAATACATACTCCATTAATATAATCTGACTTCTTAACTAACCTTTTCTTTTCAAATATTATACTTCCTCCGTTCCCTAAATATTGCAACATGGGGGGAGGACACGGATTTTAAGAAGAGGAGAGAGAAATAAAGATAGGGACCAATGTGATGAGGAGAGAGAAAGAGAGAAAAATGTACAAATAAGGAAATGTTGCAATATTTGTGAAACTTACTAAAATGGTAATTGTTGCAATATTAGAGGAACAAAAGAAGTATCACTTAAAATATCAATGCAATACAAACAACGATGCAAACACTTATACCTCCTACAGGAATGAAGAGATAATACAGTAACTAGCACTCGTAGTTTCTCTTAGATGTTGAATACATTTATACCAAAATCATGATGGCTCATTTTGATTCAGCTTGCATTTTACATAATATGAATGGCAAACCCCATCATGAAAATGTCAACAAGACAGTTTCCAGATTCCTTTAATTGCAAAAGTAAATGGCATCTAGCCTTCTTCTAGAGCGATATTGTTAACTTAGATGGAACACACAAAAGGGGGGGTGAATTGTGTAGGAACTAGTGTTCCCAAATTTCGTGGAAATTAAAAACGTAGAACAAAATAAAGAGATGCAAAGAGATTTTTACGTGGAAACTCCTTGTGCCCAACAAGGAGAAAAACCACGACCACTTGGGATTTTCGAACTCAACTTCACTAAATAGGGCAACTACTCCGTTACAACCTATAAGGAACTCGACAAAACTTAAGTTCCACTAAGAACCTAAGCCAACCCCCAAATGCTCACTCTAGCTTCTACTCTAAAGCCTACACTCAAGACTTATCACTAAGCCTTTACAAGGATCACTCAACCATTTCCCAAATTAAAACTCGGTAATTTGAACTTTACGTGTTTAGATGATCTTACAATAGTTGGAACAAAGGAATACTCTCACTGACACAAATATATTTCTTACTCACATATTGTACAATTGTCAGGATCAAAAACTGAAACTTAACTCCTTTTTTATACTGATCCAACATCCCAGCCACCTTGCTCACATCCTCCATTACTTAATGAAAATTTTTGTAAATAAAAGAAGAAAAAAATATGAATAAATATATTTTTATTTTTTTAAAAAAAACAAAACAAAACAAAAAGTTACGGCAGACTACAACAACAAGAAACCCAAATCCCACTTACCTCCTCAATTATATTTACCAAGCCACTAAATACCTTTCTTATTCTCTCTCCTCAGTAACTAGAACCTTCAATAAAATTCATCAATGGCAAGAACAAGCCACAACAACCCACTCCCTCACCAAACCATAAAAAGACCTCGTACTTCATCACCCTCCACGGAATCCCCAACTCCGATGGACGCATCTCCATATTCACCTCCACAAAAAGCCACTTCCGTACCAAAATCTGAAAATTCAGCCGAGACACGAAACCCCAATGAATTGAACCTAGCTTTTCACCCACTTATAATAAGCGCAAAACAAAGAGACGCAAGCTCAAAGATGGTGGTCTATCTAAGGGAGAAGCAAAGGAGTGTTTGAAAGCCCTAACACTCAAAGCCGACTGACTCACTCGGGGTTTTGCTCTAAATTTAGAATGGTGTCAATCAAGTAAGTTTACTGGATTACTTGACATACTAGAATTTCAAGGATGGGTTCAATTGTTAAATGTACATGCAAAGAAACCCTTGATTCCGGATGCTATAAATGAATTTGTGACAAATTTTGGTTGTGTGAATGGTGTTTGTTCCAATAAAGTGAATGGTACTGCCTTTTCTTTTGATGCAACTTATCTATCAAAGTTGTTTGGAGTTCCTAATGTTGGATATTCTGATTATTTTAAGCATAAACGCTGTGTGCAAATTGGTGAAGTAACACATGATCAAATCGTGAAGTATGTTGATAGTAGTGCATGTGATGCTAATGCGACTATGGTTTACCAATACAATTTCTCACTTTCGGTAAAATTGTTATTTAGCATAGTTAGAAAGGGAGTGATTCCTTGTCCTCAAAATAGATATGAGGTGGGCTTGCTTGATTGTGCTTCGATTTATTGTCTTGGAAATAATTTGAAAATTATTTTTTTGTCGATCATGATACAACATCTTAGCCATTGTAACCCTAAAAGCACTGTTGGTTATGGCACTTTACTTACCATAGTGTTTGAAAGATTTGGTGTAGATTTAAGTGTCTTTGATTCTCTTGGTATGTAAGCTAAAACCATCCTACAATATAATTCTTTGACTGCACTTGGCTTGACTGTGGTGGATGGAAAGACTTGTTTTATTCCACCTTAGATTGGACATGTTGTGAAGAAGAAAAAAGAGGGAGCAGGGGAGAGTAAGAAAGAAGAGAGTGCCTCAAAAACACAAAAGTAGGAAAAGGTTGTTAGTAAACCAAAACAAATAGGTGGAATAAGGAGAAAGAGCATGAGGGTGGCTAGCCTACCTAAATTGATAAAACCACCCACATTTGTTGATGTAAGTGAAGACAGTGAGAAAAGTGAGGACAATGACAAAAGTGAGGATAGTGAGGAAAGCGAGAGTGAGCCAGAACACCTTGAGCCTATGGTGGGGCAGAGTGATAAACCAAAATAGGGGAGTACAAGCTTTGATATCATTCCTCATGTTCCTATAAGGAACACACCTCCCTTTGGCACTATTGGCAGTAGCTCAGGTTTTGATGTCTTGTCTTTTAGAACACCTGGGTTTGGTGGATGGTGGTGAGCCTAAAATGCAAACTATGGTGGATGTGATGCAGCAAATGATGTCCAAATAGGATCAAATTAACACGAAACTCATGTCACTTTAAGCTATAGTTGGAGCTTTGAAAGGATCAGTCCACCAGCTTCAAATTGTGACCAAAGCTCATAGATAGAAAGTCAACCACGCTCAGAACACAGTTCTCCAACGCTTGGAGGAAGTTGCTTTTGAAGATGTTCTTGAGAATGATGAGTAGTTTGCTTATCTCTACTATCTAGTCTTTTGCTTATTTAGATTAAAGTTGGAACAATATCTTTTTTATGCTTTTATTTTGGCTAGTATGATGGCTATGCAATTTTTTGGTGATATGTGCTACTTGGAACTGTCTTATTTGATAATAAGTACTTTTGATTAGCATATGTGTGATTGACTTGGAAAGTGTTGTATGTTTGTGAGTTTACTTGATACATAACTCCACTTATACCCTTTGTTTATATATATAAACTCAACAAGGGGTGCTATGTGTGGATTACTTGTACTAGTACTATTATTTTTGTTGATGCCAAAAGGGGGAAAGAAATGCAAACACTGAATTACATGTCATCCGAGTTCCGCCCACATTCTCATACCATGTTTTCTTCCAAGCAGTCATCAGGTAGTACATTTTATTATTTTTGCTCTTATAAAATTAATTATTTATAACATCTATGAAATTAGTAGAAGCTTGTATTTGCTTTTCTTCATTAAAATTTTGTCTCTTTATTTAAATAAGTTTGCAAGCTTTGTCATCACCAAAAACGGGGAAATATTGTTACCTCAATTAGTTTTTGTGACGACCAGCAAACTCGATTTGATAAGGGTGTATTAAGTGTGCAGGTTGTTTAGGCAAGTTACGTGGTTGGAACAAAGTTGCGCGGTTGGAACAAAGAAAAGTCCTTAATCTACATATGACATAAACTGTGGATATATTGAAGTGAAGAAAGCAAAGAAGGTTTTATGTGTTTCTTTTGGAAAGCTAGAATTATCAAAGGTTCCATTGGGATATGGTAAAAGCAATGAGTATTACATGAAGACTAAAAAGTATGAGTTATTATTTTTCAGGCTTAGGGATTAAGGCTTTGATTGATTGATTGGTTGGAACAAAAGGA